CAATCAATTTTTAACCTCCAACCCCACGCGGTAAGGGTGTGTTTATTTAGAGGCAGATAATCTTTATCCTGTTGATAAAATATAGGGAGAAAAAAAGATGTGAATGAGGACTGCTTACATACACCAAGCAAATGAACTCTTTGAATCACGTGATCTCCCATAATTACTATTATTTATGCATGATGTAGATATTTTGATAGCAGCTCGTGATGATGAATAATATTCCATTATATTTATCAGTCGATAAGTTTTTACAAGATGAATCTCGCACTGCTTAGAAAACCAAGAATCTATAGCACGAGATCCATAAATTTATTAACACAACAGACGTCTTATGACTCTGTTTATCACGAACGAATGTGCTTGTAGTAAATAAGAGCATCGATAAAAAAATTCTGGTTTGCGTCTGTTTCGATTGACACGAATATGAGGACTGCAGAGTCAAATGGTCATGCGCATTACAACAAAGGTTATGCCAGTAACATTACAGACGGAACAGGTACGATTAAGATTGAATCATCTTAATTGCACGAATAATGGTGATGGTAATAAGAACGTTTCAGCTTTAGATACAAGGTCGTTTGACGTAAAAGTAGAAAGTCACGGCCTCCACACAATCAGCGCAATAACTTAAGAAAATTCTATCTCATCAATTATATACAGTATGTTCTAACCCAAATCGCAATCTGCGATAACATCAATAAAGACAATGTGCCTATTTCGAATTGGGTTAGAACATATTAATATACATCCCTGCGTACTTACGTTACATTGTGGCGCGGTAGTAAGGGTTTGTTTGCTTGCGGCACTGTATTCCGGCAAATAGGATCAATTTAGCGAGTGTCGATCACAAGTCATAATACAAATCTATTGCCATTGTAAATGCTAGCGATTATTAAAAGTTTATTTAATTTTTTCCGTCGCTATGCAGTCCGTGCCAGACACCTATCCTCTTCCGCTCGTTTTGAAATATGGCTTCTTCTCTTCTTCCTCCTCATCACTACTATTTGTTGTCTTGTACATATCAAATTCGTCATCTATGCTTGCCACTGTTCTATCCTGAAGACATTTACGTAAATAAGCAAATATCACCGTATATAACTTAACTGGAGCTACTCTCCAAAATGTCTTTGGCGGAATCTCTTCATCCAAATCAATTCCGCAATACTTTACTACTTCAGCCATTCTCGCCACCTGCTTCTTACACGTCTTCCATGTGCCCACACCCATGCGGAGAACGCTAGCCTGCTTTCTAACAGTCAAGGCACTTTTCGTCACCAACTCGTGTAATCTAGCAGCTTCTGTGTATTGCTTGGGTCTGTTGTCACACATTGAGAATGAGGTGTATGCTTCCCGTAACTGTTCATCGGTCGGTGTGGACGCTTTATAAGTGAATTGTCTTTTTCTCTGCGCAGCTATTTTGCCCAGTGCTTGTATTCTCTCGAGCATCCCCTCTCGACATAATGCACGAATTGATGCTAATCTTGGTTTCTGATAACGAGGCCGTTTTCGGGGCGGTGGGCTCGGGACTGTCTCTGCTGAAGCAACTGATCCCCTATCACTGACTGATTTGGTGTTATTGTTTTCACTGCTGCATCAACAAAAATAATCAATAATAGTAAGACATGCGTGCATGCGT